TTTCTCACTGATATTTTTATGTTTGTTTTACTTTGATGTAAAAAAAACGCTCAACTTGTTTTGCTTTGCTCTTTTCTAAATAAAAGCTATCCTTGCTATTAACAGTTTTATTGTAATTTTGGTAATGACTTCATCCCAACATAAGCATTTTCCTGACATGAAAACTATGTAAAATAAACGGTATATACGGGTTTTTCTTAATTTCAAAATCGGGAACCGTTTTTTTGGTTTAATTGAAAAATTTCGAATAACTCGAAAACCGGCTTTGGAAAAGGCGATTACTCGAATACTCTAAATAGTTTACTTTTAACAGGCACTTGTTATGTACAACCAGAAATAAAAGGCGCTTATGTGTTCTTCTTTCGTCGAAAGCCATACCTGGGTGGCGAAAGTGTTTATCATCACTTTAACTTTCATTAGTACATTGCAGAAAGTTGACCTATAATTACCACAATAAATGTAGATTATTATTGTCATGTTATTGACATAGTAGCCGCCGTTATTTTCGCTAACGGTCATTTTGAACAAATTCGGTCAGTTGCTGCCAATTTATTGTTTAAACGTTTGGCCTGATTTCCAGCAAAATGATATGAAATCGCGAAAAATACAAATGTATGCTCGCATGTGTATAAATATGTGTAAATATAGGCGGCTTATGTGAATTTTCACACATTTATGCATATTTGATTGCCCAGCAGTAAAGTCTGTTTCTATAGCATGGATTTCGAATCAGTTATGAAGCGCTACTGCTTTTCTTTTGAAGTTGGTCACCATAAAATAAATTAAAAGAAAAATTGCAGGCTTTGTCAAGTGGTTTTTAGGCAAATTTTCTCATACGTACATATGTACATAGATGTGCACAAAAGCATTCTTCGACAAAAAGGTGTTTTTGGTCGAAAATGATGGCACACTTATATGGAAAAATGCATTATCTTCAGTTTTGTGTTAAGAACAAGACTCCATCGCGAAATTGTATTTAAAACAAAACTTAAAAATAATATACTAAAAAAAGTAAAAATAACCACTTGTGCTCATATGTTTAAAGTAATATTATTTTAAAGCAATTTAATATTGGCGTGGAAGATTTAACACAGTATTCCTTGTACATATATAACAATTTTAGAATAAATTTCGAGTGTGCCAATAAAAACTGTAAACATGTACATGTACGTTTAGTTTCTTAAATCATTGTCACCAGATTCGTTCGTTTTGGCAAGAATAACATTTTTACCGTATAATTTTAACATTTTAAAGTATATTAAATTAGTCAAATAAAAAAAAAATATATAATTTCAAAAATTACCATATAGCTGCGTCAGTTATTCAGCATGCTTCATTTTTTTTTTAATTTGGTGGCACACTCTTGAAATTTCACAGATATGTTGTATTTCATGCCAACGTCCATTGCCTCTTATATGAGCTTTCTATTTAAAAACTTCCCAAAGTTATTAAAAAACAAAAACAATTATGATTTTTTCAAGTGACAATGAAAAAATTAGTAATTTCGATACTTTTTCGCCTAAATAAACGTTCTAAGGCTAAAATTGTTAAAATACTTGATTAATTATTTTATTATCGTACTTGTTTCTAGAACTAGATTGATTGAAATATATGCAAGAAAATAAAAGAAGAAGAAAATTACGAGAAAAGGACTCGTGAACACTTTTAATGCCTTTTCACTCATCTTCGAGTGGACCAATCATCTCAAAAGCACTGCCCACGCAACCCAAATGGACTATGTACTAAATGCATTTATGCATTCATACAAACAAACACAAGTATGTATGTAAATGCCCTTTAAAGCGGCTACCATCGGCGTTGTTGGGTCATAAAAGCATAATTTTTTACTAGGGAATGTGGGCAATAGCGAGGTATTTATTGCCATATATGCAAACGTGTTAATACGTGTTTGCAAATTGCATTGAAATGTAACTGAGCGTGAGCGCTGCCACGTGAGGGTGCAAGCGGCGCATCAAATTCGTATGCGGTTTTTTTCTTTTTGCGTTCACAGCTCAAATTTATGTATGTTGCATGAATGGTGTTTGGCATCAGTGCTTTATTATAACCACACCGCACATATGTATTTAAAGATTTTTTTTTGTGTCTGTATGTGTGCGTGCTCTTTGCAAATATTCGCACTTTAATAGCAAATAATTCACTTATACACGAGCGCAATCATTTATACACAATACGTACACATGTATGTATGTATCTGCGTTTGCAACATCTTTTTAATAAAGATTTTTAAATATTTATTTATATATATTAGGGTGCATCACTCTCAATCCAAAAAATATTAGTATGGTTTTTACATCGGAATTATAAAATTATTATATTTTAAGATTTCTGATAAAATATTTTTGAGTAATAATTTGGTTTACGTAAGCTAGACAGATCTGAAATACGTCCAAAATCGAGTTTCTTATAAATAAAATCAAAATAAAGTCTAAAGTCCTCCTATTGATTACCGGTTCTTGTGAAACCGGCACCTCCATAATCAATCCTCTTAGAAGCGGGCATTTTCTTTTGTTCTTTTGGCATATGTTAAAGCCTAAGTGTGCTGACAGCCACGTGAGCCTATATGTTAAGTAAGCTGAGGTATTGATAGAGCATAGAAAGATGATGCACTTGTCATAGGGATGAAAAAAAAAACATATCGTGAAAGAAACGAGTAACCAAGAAGTAATGCGTAGTTCTCACTTTAGGTAGTAGTTCATTGTCAGAGATGGCAGAAGATTTACTTTGACATATTTTTCTGAACTCTCAAAATGATGCAAATTCTAACTCTTGCAATTTCGCATCATAAATATGCAACTCTTCATATCTTATTTGAGCTAAATTGTAAAATTTATCAATTTCACATGAAAATTTTTTTTTCAATTTTTGCAATCTAATTATAATATCTTGCACTGGTAGCAGCATGAACCAAGGCATCTGCATACAACAGCCAGCACTATAAATCACACAAATATCTATGTATGTACATACAAACCTACATACCCACGCATTAGTATGCAAATAACTCTGGTGATCTAACCTCAAACAAGTGAAGTTGCATTATAAACTCAAGTGTCGAATACCAACGACAAATATAAGTAAGTACGTACATATGTATGCATGTAACTCATCTAAATAGATGGGAAATTTATAAACATTCATACATTTGAATTCTCTAAATGACTTGAATGGCTGTGAATATGCCCAGTAGGAAAATTTAATGCAAAGTCATCGAGAAAATAAAAAATAGTCAGTAAAACAGCCGTTTTCACATTCGAAATGCATTATTTTCTCACGACAATGACCTAGGAAAAGTGTGGCATTAAATTTCCCATTACCAGTAATGCTGGAATGAATGCGATTTAATATGAATTTTTTGCGACTCTTTGGATACATTAGAATGCTGGTTACATATTAAACAGCAGTAATAGAATCTAGAACTCATAAGAGACATATTGAATAACTCAGCGAGAGGGGAGACCAGTATGTTTGCATGTATGTATATAAAAAAAATATTTATTGGACCAAAAAGTAGTGGGTAGGCACTGTGGCCAATGGCAATCAACTATTACCACCTCCGCATGGTTGTAAGCCATGCAGAGTCCGCAGAATGCTCCGGAAGCAGAGTCCGGAGGATGCATCCGACTAGGCAGAGCATACTTTGAAGTGCCATCTAATTAGAACTTAAGAAAGTTCAATTACATGGCAGTTGAGAAGTGCATGTGCAAAAATTTCCTAAATTGCATAAAGAAATTTTTGCACATGCAGCAGTACATAGCATGTATTTAGGCGCCTGGTGTTAGCAGACGCGCCTAAACACATATTACACTACTTATCACGCATCTAATGCATTACTACTTTTTCCATTGGGTGAGCATGAGTTGTTGTTGTAGTTGTGATTGGGTAAACGTTTTGGCGTGTATGCATGTGCATGTAAGCTGATCGGTGACAATTGATATTAAATACTGCTGAATATAGTAGAGTATCTATCACAACATGTGCTCATCGTCGGCGGCTTTACTATATGTATTTTGAAACATCATCTAATGTGCATATGCATGTATGTATGTATATGTGCGCGACCGTGTATATGTGACATATGGGCATGGAATGCAAAGGAAATTACATTAAAAATCAATAAAGTGTGCAACAACAACAAGAAAAAATTCTGCAATGCTCCGCAACGTTAACTTCATTGTTAGTAAAATTTAATGGCCTTTGCTAAGCCTGAATGGCAATGAGTTAATAACTACAATGTAGTGTGTGTATGTATTTTTATGCGATAATAACTATTGTACATATAGTGTGAGTGGCAGCGTGCGTATGCATTTATGTGTGTGTGTGTGTGTGTGTGTGTGTGTGTGTGTGTGTCTGAATGAAAGTAAATGGACTGCATTTATGGCGAAAATGTATGAATTATGGCAAGCTGATGAGTATACACAAGCTATCATTTATGTATGTACATGTTCCTCTATAGTAGAGGTCTGCAAGAGCTCATACTTAACTACTCCTCACTTGAAGAAGAAGAAGAAAAATAGTTTTTGTTAGGGCAACATCGCAACTGAGCGATGTTTTTACAGGGATTTTTCGGTGTCCTATTTTCGTGACTTTCGGAATTGGCTTGGCATTATTTCGAATGGGTTCGGGACTTTCTCGGGATTTTGTGGAGCGTTTTATGATTCTTTGGATTTTTTACGAAAATTTTTGGTAGTAATTATCGGCTTTCGATTTTTGGGAATTTTTTCGGGAGTGTTTAGATTTTTTTTTTTGGAACTCTGGAAGCCTATTTCGAAATTTTTAAAAATTTTTTGAAAGCTTTTGAGATTTTTTCAGAATAAACATGCATTTTTGGGATTTTTCAAGGACTCATCGTATTTTTTCGGATTATTTTGGACTATTTATGATTTGCATTTTTTATAAATTGTGTCTAAGGACTTTTAGTATGTACTTATTTTGGGAATCTTTTGAATTAATCATGGTTATTCGTTATTTTTCGGACTTTTTAGGGCCTTTTTTTGGATACTATTTCAGATGGGTTTCCTTTACGCGTTTACAAACATAAAAGGGTTGCCAGTTAGTGCCGAAATTGTACCTTACAAGGTACACAATTACTTACGGGAAAATCTCCAGGTTTGGAACTAAAACGTCCCAACAATTTTATATATCTTTGAAAGTCTTCGGAGGATTTTGGCAGGACTTGGAGTTGACCCGATACATTCCAGTTTGTCTTTAAATTTCGATAATTTAAACACATCGATAAGTCAATGAATCTCAAAAAGAGTAAATTAACAAAATTCAAAAACTCGACTATTTTTCATAAACTGTGATAACTGTGCATTTCAGTGACTCGATAAGTGTCAATAACTGAAAAACGTATTCAAATGTAAACATAATTTGTTGTTTTCTTTCTATAATTTTTTAATAATTAAACTGCTGATTGATCGAAATGCAAGCGAACACTAATTTAAATTTATTATAATAATAATTCAGATTTAAAACGGGATGTTTAACAAAAATCAGCTTATATTCACTTCGCGTCAAAAGAGCGATGTGTTTATACCTGGTTTTTAACCGATTCTAGAAATAAAAAACCGATTTGAAAACAAATTCGAGTCAATGCACCTTTGAATTTTTGAGCCTATTGAAATTTGGTTTATGCATCTGTTTTGAATCACAGCGAACTCGGTCAAAGCGCTTTATGTGTCGGTATAAATGAGGTATATGATTCGATAAATTTCGGTAACTTGATAACTTTCAATAATTAAATTTTTTATGGTCGAATTTATTTCGAACAATTTGAAAACATTTTCTTAGCCTTTCGTTCACCCTAAAACTTATGTATTTCTCTTTGTCTCTCTTTGTAAAATACGAAGTAAAACAAAATTCGAAAACAACAAAAATTTAACGGGTTACAACAACAATAATATAGTACATAAATACGGAAAATTTCAAACGACGATTTTGGCCGTAATTTTTCACCAATTTGAAACCATAAAACTCTCCTCATTTACAGAAAAATACATTTCGGATGATTTTGAAATCGGTTCGGTAGAATCGCGAAACGGACAAAATTTGTGTTCGCCTACACCTCCCTACACTATGCGGACTCTTAGTATGAGAAAGCAAATGGTTACGGACTTTCTGGAAAATTTAATTGTGCAGCAAAACTGTATTCCATTACAGATCTCTGTCATATGTATACTAAAGTATGTGTTTTGCATAGTACACTGATGACTGTAATGTGGAAACACTTTGCGAATATTTCAGATATGCATGTACATATGTATGTACGTATGTAGATATGAAAGTGGCATATTAAATCCATCAAGGATGGCGAAAACTATTGTCATTACGGTAACTAAATTAAAGGTATGATAATGATGGGCTTGTGAATGTGTATGTCACTGCTTGCACGAAGCTGTTTACTGGTTGGAAATGGAAATGGAAATGAAAATGCAGAGTTTTAACTGTTATGCCTCTGTGCTTTTATACACTCAAATTTTATAAGAATCTGCCTTAATTAACTTTTCAAAAAAATAAAAAAAACGGGTGGAACTGCTGTTTGCATCTATTTATATACGTATGTAGGTATGTATGTAGGTATGTATGTATGTACGAGTATCTACATGTTTTCAAGTATCTATGTAAGCTAAATGATCAATCGATTATTTGATGGCATGCATGATTGTTTGATTGATTGATTGATTGGTGCAGTATTTATTTATATGTACATATGTATATTGATAGCGAATAGTGATAAATGTCTGTATGTATGTATGTACATCTATATTTTATTACTTATGTTAATAATGTTAACTAACTAGTATCATACTCACTTTTAACGCCTCCTCGTGATTTATTGAAGTGAATGGCGTACCGTTCACCTCTAGGATTGTATCACCGGGGCGCAGGCCGGCGCGCTCCGCTACTGAATTCTCTTCGATGCGTGAGATATAGACGCCTAATCCTGCCGTTTGCCACCACGGATTCATTGCCACAATTACCACGATTTCGCCATTATTCCAATTCCATTGCGTAGTAGATAGTTTATGCCGTTGATTAAATCGTTGAATTGCGTGTTCATCGATTTGATTAGGCGCACAATTGATTTTGTATTGTAATTGAAAATGTTGGATATGGTGTGCGGGTGTGAAAGAAGAAGGAGAAAAAATTAATTTTAGTTGCATCACTATTGAAAACTGGGCTATTCTAGTATACAGTTATGGTTAATAATTTATTGATAGTTAGTCGCTGTTTGTGTGGCTCGGAGACAATACATGCATACATACATATGCATGTAGTAAATAACAGCAAATGTTCATTCAGTTAGAGAATTTTCGACCAAATTACCAAAAAAGTAAAATAAAAACAAAAACTGAACATAGATACATATATTTTTGGTAAACAAAATTTTGTATTTGGACATACAACTTCGATCATTTCAAAACTATACACAATTTTTCCATAACCAAAAAAAACAAACATACATATGCATATATACTTAAAACCTCTGCATAATTTTTCTTTGTCAAAAAATAAAATAAAAATCTAAACTCTACATAATGCTTTCCTAATTTAAGATCTTGACATAAATTATTTGGTTAATTCAAAAACTGGACATAGATTTTTGAAAATGTAAAGTTTTTACATAATTATTATTATTTTTTGCCAATTTAAATAAATATACATTATTGGCAGCTAAAAACCGTAAATAATTATCCATGATCCAAAAATGAATTCTAAACTTTTGATTATTTAGAAATGTTTAATAATATTTTGGTCATTTGAGAATTGCACACACTTGTTTATTTTTTGGTGTTTTAAAAGTAGAACATACAGTTTTGTGAATGCCTCTGACTTATCGATCAGGAATGACGGTATTTCATCCAAGATGGAAGAAGGAGTTGTGTAATGCAGTATAGTAGGACTCTATATCGTTGATCGCCATATAGCAATCAAAGCGTTGGGATTCAAAGTAGTGAGGTTAAGAACCGATCGGGAATGACTTGCGTCGTCAATACATACAACAATTTTTTTGAGCTTGAAGGCGTTTTTATTGAAAAATAATTGTTAACAAATGATAGATCTTATAGCTGCTACTTTGAAGATCACAACATCTTCTCATCAGACTTCATCATCGAGTTCACTGGGGTTTGGAATCAGCGACTTTGGCTTACAGAGCCAGTAGTCCACGCACTGAGCTAAGTTCGCGATGGAAACGGTTACTGTTTTTCCACTTTTTTATTTCTCAACCCAACAGACTCACGACAACACTTATCTATGCTAGAATCCTGGGAATCACAATATCGAAGGGAATGAAATAGGCATTAAAGTGGATAGAGAACTCCCAACAACCACCGAATTGGGACCTACTCATGAAAATTTAACAGAGACGACTGTGGAGTTTCAAGGTATTAATGACAGCAGTAAATATTCGGGATGCTGTGGTAAAGTAGCATTGCTCCAACGTTGGCGAATACCAAGAGGTTCATTTGGGATATCGCTTCTAAACCAGCTTTGCTGAAAAAAAAACACAGAAGTAAAACTTACCTTCTCAACTTCACTTAGAAGGGTAAGCTATTTAACAGATACTCCTGGAGGACATTCACAATAGTAAAATGGCCTCAGATGGGAAGTATGAAAACTTCCTACTCTGTACTCCAAGAACCATCAAGTAAGGTAATCATACCGCCTGCATGCTAACTGCAGTGTCTTTCAGCGGATGCATTTGCCATAGAGAAGATGGCTTCTCTATTAAGGGATAGTAAGTATCTGACAAGCCAACGTCTCTATATTCTTTGATAGCCAGGTGTCTGGGAACAGATTGATGACTTGTTCTCGATGTAAACGCTTCTTTAGAGCAAGGAGTCGAACCCTCTGCCCTACGAAAACCTCGGCAACCCTTTTCCACCTGGACGAAGGAAATCAGAGTCCAGCTGGGTATTCACGTCGATGGCGTACAAATCCCCGGAGTTATCACCACCTTCTCGGCGCATACAACCGCTATTGTCAATAGAGTACAGTGTTGACCTACACTGACTCTCGACCTGTGAATGCCGTTTTGAGCACACAACCACCAGACGTGGACGATATAGAGCTTCGTCTGCCTCGGAAGACTGGGACCACAGCAGGTTAACCTCGTACCTGAACACTTAACCCCACTCAACTAACGCCTCTGACGTTATGGACAGACCCTATAGAAGCTATACGCTTCCTGGGTCTCCCGCTAGTTGAGTTTGACGAAAAGGAATGAGGTACCGAGCCGATCTAGGTGGGGCTGTTGTAGCCGCTACAACAATAGCAACTGTTCCTAACTGTCCAAGGCTTTCATTAAGAGGTTTTATTTTCCTTAACCTTTAAAATGTGAATAAGCATTGTCTGATAAATTTCGCACGACTGCACGATTGCAACGCCTCTACAATCGACTACACCCCAACCACCCGCAATTCCAAGACCAGGTTCATGACACAGTCATGATTCAGTGGACACAGTCATAGTATAATTACATGGACGGATCGAAACTCGACAAAAAAATTTGTGGCGGGGTTTATTCGGAACAGTTAGGCATATCATGCAGCTTCCGTCTTCCTGACAACTGAAGTGAACTAAGAGCTATTTCAAAGACCGCATCACTGGTGCAGTGTGATACGATTCTTAATCATGATATTTTCATTTTCATTGACAGCCAGGGTGGAGAGATGTCACTATCTTCAAACGTAGTTGCTCAATGCCGGCGATTTCTTAACGAGGTAGCTGAAATATTCAGCACACTCGTTGTCTGGGTACCTTTCCATTGTTACATTCAGGGAAACTGCAAGGCCGATGAACACGCGTGTCAAAGTACTCCGGCCAGCCATGGACGCCATAGACATATTCTAAAGAGGCAGGACATTCTTATAGTGACTGGAGTTCTACATTGTCATTGGATTACGAGCAGCTAGACTGGGCGCACCATAGAACGACTGCTGCAGAAGCTACATGGATGAGGACGAAGAAGAGACCATCTCACATATTCTCGACCATTGCCGGGCTGTGTCAAAACGGAGAGCAAAAGCTCTTGCCAGTTATTTCTTCAACGATCTCGATGACCTTAAAGCGATGAACGTTAAAAGCCTATACGATTTTAGCTGAGCACCAATTGGTTCATAAAGCCTAACCTAACCTAACTTGATGACTCTATGCAAAGATTTTGTACCTAAAAGTTGGAAGTCAGAAAGAGAAATGACTTAACGCTTTGAAATTAAATTGTCAATCGATTATGGCTTATACATACATAAATATGAACACATTGCCCCAAAGAAGGGAAAAAGCCAACCAGAGAGACATAAAGTAATTTTGCAAGGCATAGCCTACATTTACAATCGAGTTGCATTTCTTCATTAAGCATTCATTTATTTAAAACAGAAATGTTTAATTAAGGATTATCACTGCAATTAAAATCAACAGAAATTCAATTTCGACAATAATGGCACTTAAAATTGACGTTTTTATATGGAAATATATGTACATATGTATGTCCATACATAAGGCTCGATTCGCTATATAATAAAATAAGGCAAGGAGATAAGTGAAAATCATTCGCCCCTTATATAATATTCAATTACTCCGCCGCTAACCACCTCCGTACCTAGCTACATGACTGCAACGCCTGTACGCGCCAACAACAGGTTAAATTTTGCGATTCATATCACATTGCAGTAATTAAAAATGGAATGAACAACGATATAGTACACCATTTTGTCCCGCTGGCGACAACAATTGTCACATACAGTGATTTAAACAAATGATCACGTGTTGATTTTCTTCAAATATTCGTAATGTTTTTCGAGCTAATATTTTTTTGTTTGTTATTTTTATATGACGGATTTTTGCACTTTTTTCATATAATTATGAATTTCTTATGAAATAAAACGCGGGAGACCATCAGCAAGAAAATTTCAAAATATAAACGCAAGTTATATTAAAAAACTCGAAAAAGTAGCCTTCGAAAAAAAAAAAATTTAAAATCAACGCGGAACTTGCACTTCATTAGACTAAAATTTTATGGGCTATAAAATTGCATACCCAAAAATTTTCTAAAAATTTAGAATAAAAAGTTGAAGTTTTAATGAAACTTTGTTGAATTTTCTTAAATTTTGTATAAAGCTTGAAACTGTAATTTACACGTTTTTGCTTAAAACTTAGACGATATTTTTATATAAAAATAACAAAAAATGTTGCTGCAAAAATATTACGAATAATTAAGAAAAAACAACACGTGGTCATTTGATTGAGTCACTGTTTTTGAATAGAGAGGAAAACGTGAATAGTAGTGGTGGGGATGGACCAAAAATTTCAAAATATGCCTAATAGTCTTGATAAATAGTGCCGAAAAGCAGATGAAAGTGCCACAAAATTAAAATTTCGTTCTTTCTGACGTTTTAGTTTTTATTGATTTTATATAAAAGTCTAACTCATAAGTAATTTAACAAACACCATATATGTACGTACAAAATCGACATTTCAAATTTTGTACAAAAATTATAAAAATACAGCAGGTTTTCGCACAACAAACTTTTAATTCAGAATTTTTAGAGTGATTCCAAGCTTACAATTTTACGTACTTTTCCCATATAAACTGTGCTCGAGGGTTTTTTAAATGATCGAAAACATATGACACCGTCAGCAAAAAAAAAATAATTTGTAGATACTTGCAAATTTATTTAGTGGACATAAAACTGCAAACTTAGAATTTTTTCTACAAAATTCTGAATTAAAAGTTTGCTGTTGCGGAAGCTTACTTTTTGTGCTGCGTATTCACAACATAATTCAGCTTTTTGCCAAGAGCTGCCACACAATATTTCTCGCGGCCCTGATTTTAATTTTTTAGTGATTTTAATTTTACCTTTTTGTAATTTTCTAATCTATAATGTAATATGTGTGTTTTGTTACACTTTGGCATATTATTTATGCCAAGTCTCTATAATTTACGATTGTGCCAAAACGGGATGGATTGTGCCAGAAAAGGCACTATTGTGCCGACTTTTCCATCACTGGGATGGACAATGCGACAGGCAGACAAGCAGACAAGGAAAGCCGCCGTTCGTTGGTGTGACGGGGCGTATGAGTGACCCGCTTGTACCAGGCATGCCTATGTTGCCTTAAGCCTTCTTCTTGGCCGCTAAATACGCATTCATGACAGTTACAAGCCTCGTTTGGCATTAAGGTTGG